TCCTCACTTATCTCCTTATCCAACATTTTCCATTTAAAACAATACTAAAAAATTTAATAACTGAATATTTTGTGCATTAATGACATATCTCTGGCAGTAACAAATGCCAAGGTGCCAGGCAGGAGTAACACTGGCTGTGATGTTAAGGTTATGTGTCAACTGGTCTGGGCCATGATACTCAGTGGTTTGGCAGTTATGTGATGATGTAATTTGGCAGTTATGTAATGATGCAATTTAGCAGTTGTGTAATGATATAATTTGTCAATTATGTAATGATGTTGTCATCCTTCATTTTGTGATCTAGTGTGCTCATTCTCCGTTTTTACATAATGCTTATTTTTGCATTACAAACTTGTCTTTGTAACCTAACGACGTCAATAAGTGAGGAGTGGATGTATATTTTTTTTTTATAAAATAATGGTGGTAAATAATTACATATTTCATATACAGTTTTTTTCTATGTATTCCCCAATTATGTGCTTAATAATCTGAATTTATTTTTCAAAGGGAATTTTTTTTCTCACTGCAAGTTGCGGGAAAAACAACTTCTTCCTTTTTCCTCTCTCCTTTTGAGAATAGAGGGGATATTTATGTTTTGTTTTTTTATCTCTTCTCATCCATGATTACTAAAGAAATTCTATAAAATGAGTGAAGGGAGGGGTGAGGAAAGGATACATCGATGAGCAGAAAGAGAAATATAGATTTTAGAATTGTTTCTGCACCAGGCTTCTCTGTCTGATCAGGCTTCAGGACCTAGCAGGACTGGTTGCCTTGCCTCATACATATAATAATGTTGATTACTGTGAGGCTTATGTGACATAAGTTTGGAAAACATCTTGGTAAATGTTAACAGAGCTATGAATCTCTGAGGTGAGGGGAATATCTGGGAAAAAAACTTCACCTGTACAGCTTCAGGCTCCTCAGCAATAGGGACATGAAATGAGGAGGCCAACAAGGGACAAGCTCCATGTTGATGTGTCCAGTGGTGTCTGAGGTATAGGGTCAAACTTTTACATTGCCAGTGCTCAAAAGAGTGTGAGGACTCTGATGCCCACTGTTCCCATAACAGGTAAAAGGAGGAGCAGAGAGTTACTAACAACAGAAACAGAGAGAACTAGGAAAAATAGCCCATCGCTTGTCATGAACTGTGAATAAA